TTTTGTATACGTCAAAGTACCGCAGTGTAGGAAAACAGATATAGACCAGAATGTTCCTGAGACTTAAACTTTCTTACAACAATGAAAATCAATTTTTAACTTTTTGAAACAATGGTAAGTTATTTTCAACAGATCCGTTAACCGTAAAGGAAAAAAGTAACCGTTAGCCGTAAAAAAAAGTCAAAAAATTTACCGTTAGCCGTAATTAACTACCCTATTGAGACCTGAATGTCACCATTATCGCTAAAGTGGCCTTCTTGCTTGAGCCGGCCTTGATCATTTGCAAACTGAGTCCGGACGAAGGGCTGAGTAAATCAGTCACATGAATAAGACACATGGGATAAAATTACCCAATTCGGGCAAGCGCACGACCCTAGGTATTCAGTCCTATGTGGTAGTACGCTCGCTGTTGTCGAATTGTGGAGTTCCTCAGTATTTACAGAAGAATTTCAGAGTACTACAAAACATTACAACAGTTACGGGTTTGGTAATTCCACGACTTAAAAATGACTCAGCACAAGTGATGCTTGATTATGATAATTGAAAGTGTTGAATAAACTCGAATCGGCTGTCGAGTTTTGTGAACGTGTTAATTAGTTAAAATTACCTCGATGGCTAACTTATAACATGACGTTTGGAGTTTAAGATAAACTGGTTTGCAAGGCTCCATGTAAAATGACAACTGTAGATAGTCTACTTCCATGTCTTAAGTTCGCTGAACAAACCATTTGAAACCGTTTGAGTTTAATTAAGCGGAGTTAAAAAACCTGTGAAAGTTTTTTTCTAGATGAAGTTTAATTAAGATGAAGATGAAATTACTATTTTTGATGTAACACTATGACAACTGTAGACACTCTCTACTTAGGTCGTTATTATATTACATCCTTGATTGAATCATTTGAAACTTACAGACTCATTATGATTTTTAAGTGTGGGGATTAAGTTATTTTTATTTGCATCGAGTACAATTGGAGTCTAAAGTTCATCAAGACCGAGAGAATATCAATTCTCAGTAATAAACTTTTTCAGAGTGAGTAGAAATGTATGTTTTCATTCTTCGTTCTTGTCTTCACATGTATGAATTACTAGGCAACAGTCTCTTAATCAAAATATTTCTTTACCATTGTCCCTTCACTGTTCCACTTCAGTGACCTACATGGTCTCCATTTATTGAAAATATAATATTCTGTTGAAGCAATGGAGACGGTGCTTTAATTTTCATGTGCAGTGTACCTATTGAACTTCCTTGACTGAGACCCCACTGTTAATCAGATGCAAGCCATGTAGCGGATGTGCACACAGATGTAAACTGACTTGAAAAGCGCCTCATTGGATATGCATAACTATATTAGTTGGTGCTTGAGAATTAGCATGAGATTGTATTTTGCTATCTTAGGTGTTGGCAAGAGAAGTTTGTGGTGCGCTGGTTTTACTGATCCGCCCAAACCATCCGGGTGGTATCGCAAATATATAGGGAATAGAACAATAGAGGAGACGTCAGCCAATCAGAAAATACTGACGTCACTATAACTGATAAAACTGATGTGACAATACTGATCCTTTTATCTTTATTGTTCGTTGTTGTGATTTGAAATGGCAAAGCGAAGTACCTTTGAAAAAAACTTTTGCTGGCCTTCTTGTTTAGTTGAAACTTTTTTTAAAGAAAGCGAAGTTCTTAGAAAGAAACGGCATTCTGATCGTCGATGCAGACATTCCCAGATTCATTAAACAGTGACGTTTATATCAATTCTCTTAACTTTGCGACATATATCATTAATAATAATATCTAATTATTCCTTGTTTTAGTGAGGCAGGTAAACTGCGTTAAATCTTTTAAAAAACTAATCGGATGAACCTTTAGACTGTGAACATCAAATCATAATATAAGAAAGAAAAATCAACGACTGTTTTAGTGGACCGGTTCATTTATACTTTACTGGACCGTTAGCGCGTAAACAAAACGACCAAAACTGTACTGACAGTTGTTTTTGTTTTCTTTTGGTGTACACAAAGACTGTAACGTTTGAATTAACCACTGATTCTAAGCTAGAGAAGAGAAAACGACATGTAAACGAGGAAATTAAACAACGAGCTAACATCGCAAAAGACATTTGTTATCGCCAAACCAAAATTGATTCATAGTGCAGTGTTTATGTTTTTTTTTGTGCGAGTTTGTTTTTAAAATTCATAAAAACAAAACATTAAAGGTGAGTGATAACATCCTTTTTTTTCAGATGAAAACTAAAAATGCAAATTGTCATTGTGGTTGCGGAAACCATTGTTGGTTTGTTGTGGTCCGTGGTGAGCTTAAAACAAGACTTACTATTATTTTGTATGTTTTACTCGTTATTTTAAACACGGCCCACGCGAATAGACGTTCTCTTACTGTCCCTGCTTTAGCATTCGTTTACAGCCTAGGCAAAGTTTCTGACATCCTTTCCAACTATTGGCATTAGCATTGTGACTCGTGAGATGGTGCTGACCGTACATTTTTTTTTTCCGTTTAATTTTGGCTCAACATTGTGTCTTCGTTTCTTCTTCTAATAGGGACCTCAAGCAAAGGCGTTCGACGCACGTCAATAGGAAGTGAGGCCTTTTTCTTTCTTAATATGCCATGAAATCCAAATTCTTACTTGTGCAGCTAAGTGCCTTTAGTCTTATAGAACGCTTTTACCGGGAATTTCGGTTTGGTGCCATCATACTGCTCGGCAGAATACTGCCCAAGGATGCAAAGTGCATTTTCGGTTGACGTGCGTCCGGCTCCAAACGGCTTTGCTCAAGCACACTATTACTAGAAATAAGCATCTCGCAATAAGCCTCGCGAAACTCGGTTTGGTAACGGCACTCAAGTTAAGCCCTGCCGGTCGTGGTTAAGAACTGAAAGGGTGACCAACCGCGAATATCGTCTTAAAGGTCCATACGTTGTTCTTTCTTTTCTTCTTCTTCTTTTTTGCGTATTATGTGGTGTTATTGTTAACAGTGTATTGAAAAGCAGATTTAGCATTATTTCGGCGTCCGGATTTAGAAAAAGACAAAAACAAAGAAAAAATATGTCCGTAATACACAGCTGAAACTTTGCAGACTTTGATCTAAATGTATAGGCGGGGATGGGTTTTCGACAGTGAACGATCATAAAATGCCTCTGATTCCAATCTCCTGTTCCTCTGTCTCTTGTTGTCGGCGTTGCCTTCGCTGTGCTAAGCGATGTTCCTTCTGCTCCGCGGTTTCTTATTGACGTCTTCTCCTTCGTTGTTCACGCTGAATTTGAAGTCAGCGTTCTCGCTCCAGAGAATTTTCGGTGGAAAATCTTCCTGGGCGAGGATTTGGAGTCACTTGTTGTGCTTGTGTGTCATTTGCATGGGAAATTGTTCGTGATTCACCGATGGTAAACTTTGATTCATAGACGATGAATAAACACATCAAAATGCGCCTTGGTCATCGGCGGCGAAGTCTATGTTGCGTGGAAACGCAAAATGCTCCATGACGTCATTGGCGGATACCAAGCATATATTCAGAAAAAAAAAAAAGATTTATTTATTTATTTATTTATGAAGCCTTCGAATTTCGCAGCTGGCTAAGACCACGTGCGGTTAGCAGACTGTGCGCGCGCGCGCACGACAAGATTATAAAGTCGCTACGCTCGGAATAAGACTATAGTTTTGGGTTAGGTGACTAACGAAATTCGATGATACTTCTTTGTTATTGTGAAAGGTGGTTTGTATGCAATAGTCACTATATACGTGTCAGTAGTACGTGTATGTTTATACTGACAGAAGCCTTGGGTTTATAAGTCACATGGTTTAACGCCCAGGATTAGCTCCTTTCTTTATTTTAGGTGTATCCTTATTGGGCAAAGACGGCTATATCCTACTTGTGTTTCATCTGACCAAGCTAGATCAGATATAAAATCAGAGGAACTCCTATGTGTCGGTGTAGGGTCGATATTTATTATACAGTGGTACTCCTTTATCACATGTGCACTGTTTTTTGGCCATTGTAACCTTTTATTAGTTCATCTCCGGCTAAAACATTTTTCGGTCAGGATATGTTAGAAGGGATTGCTTTCCAAGGACGATGTTGGTATCAGGCTAAGATAAAAGTAACATGCGGTATTTTTTTAAGGAAACCATCAAAATCAGAAAAAAATAAAATAGTGAAATTTATGGCATATAAAACCCTACAAAGCAATAAAGTAACAATAAAGTCCTTGCTAAATAAAATAAAACTGTACTCTTGACGAAGTTCGTACTGCGACTGTCCGGCATAACTTAACTTCCTATCACTTGATGTATGGGTATCCACTGACCGGGTATATCCATACAGCTTGCCACGCAGGCTACCGATAATCAAGTTATCCTATATATTATCATATTTTTACATTTTAAGCTAATTGTTATAAATTTTACCGGGTGAAATTTTAATCCTCAGAATTCTTATCCGATTTTAATAAAAGTTTCTCAGGTTTTCCCTCAAAGTGTTTAGCTACAAAAGGAATCGTGCTTAAGGCGCGATTTAATTAAATATTTTCTAAAATATTTTTTCAGGTGAAAGATTATATCACGACGTTTGCTTTAATGAATTTAAAATCTTAACGAAATGAACGGCAATCTGGTGGTATTTATGGTAACCCAAGAGAGAATGGGGTTCCCTTGAAGCGGTAGTGATATATTTTGCATCCACAACATATCACCTTTAAAAAGCATTGCCAATCAATGGCTCTCCATCACAGCAATTTTTGTCTCGTCACGCCACGGGAAAGAGCGTTGCGTGATGAGACAAAACGGCTGCTTCAGAGACCAATTCCCTACGGTTGTAAGAGTTTACAAGAACCTTGACTCCTGGAGTTTACTCTTTATAATTTAACACGAAGAAGGTAGCCACAAAGGGCTAAAAAGAAAATAACCAAAAACAATACTTTCGCACTTGCTCTTTACAGTTTATATTTGTAGAATGCTATTCTAAGGAAATTAAATCGGCGCCAAAGTTGAAGACTCCCGTTATTAGGACTGGGGCCTAGATACTTCTTCAATCATTATCCGGGACACTGAATTCCACCCAGTGTGAGCATTACCCAAGGTCGACATACCACACTGTCCTACCCATAATTCCACTCTAACAGCGCCTTGTGGGATGTTTTCACAGTACCCCTCAAATGAACGATGATGGAGCAGATTAGCGTTGTTCCCAGATGGCCAGTAGTTGAAAACAGCAGCCTCAATGGTCATTGGTCCACTACATTCATTTCCATTGAACTTGAAATACCATCGGTTACACATACCATCACCATGGACCCTCATGTTTCCCTGGAATGACACTCTGAGCGCTGAATTAGACTGCAGTTTATTAAACGCACAGTCCTGGAATAAAAGCAAACAAATCAAACATATTGTAGTAAGGAGAGCAGCCGTGTCGTAATGATTGATACCAACAACTCCAGTCAACATACTTTCTAATTTTCAAAAACTCTGTAATAGCTTAAATTTTCGTTGTCCATATCCATATGGCCAGGAATCATTTTATCGCGCATGATGGTTTTCTTTTTTCGTTCAAAAAAGAACCAAAGTAGAGAGAAATGTAACTTAGTTATTTATGTAATGTGTTGGCAAACAGTGAGTGAGAGGGAGACTTTCTTCTTTGAAATATTTTAATGTAAAACGGAATGAATTTTCTTAGGAGTGTATGATGATTCCTATTCTAATAACCTTAATCTTTCCGTTATCAGTACTGCTGTCTGCTATCCACACACATTGTTTCCAGTTGCTTTGTGGTACCACACTTGCTTGATTTGCTTTGGTGCTTTCTCCTTTCTCTCCCTTCTCTCCTTTTCTTCCTTTCATTCCCGCAATGCCTCGCTTTCCTTTCATTCCCACAGCTCCGCGCTCTCCTTTCATTCCCACAATACCTCGCTCTCCTTTCATCCCCACAATGCCTCGCTCTCCTTTCATTCCTACAGCTCCGCGCACTCCTTTCATTCCCACAATGCCTCGCTCTCCTTTCATTCCTACAGCTCCGCGCACTCCTTTTATTTCCACAATGCCTCGCTCTCCTTTCATTCCTACAGCTCCGCGCACTCCTTTCATTCCCACAATGCCTCGCTCTCCTTTCATTCCTACAGTTCCGCGCACCCCTTTCATTCCCACAATACCCCGCTCTCCTTTTATTCCCACAGCTCCTTGCTCTCGTTTCATTCCCAGAAGTCCCTGTTGACCTTTCATTCCCTTAATTCCTCGGGGTCCACTCTTCCCAGGGGGTCCTTCGCGCCCTCTGTCTCCTCTTGGACCCGGCATTCCTTGTGATCCTTTATCACCAATTTGTCCTTTTACACCTTCTCTTCCCTGGGGTCCGTGTGGCCCCGGGACGCCCGGCACTCCCGGTATACCATTTGATCCTGGAATACCAGGGAAACCCATCAGAGATCGCTGAAAGTAAAGATGACTTGTAAATAGCAGACACGAAGACGACAAGGGATCTTGAATAACTTGGGGGAGGGAAGTTGGATGTACTCCTGGGAATTCTTGGAGGGAATTTGCCGCCCGGTTCTTCAAATCCTGACTCTATTTCAGCCCAAAACACGTCATTTTTTTCACCCATTTTCACATTTGGCCTCTAAAATCCATACCAGTTTAGGACCTTGTCTCTAAGAAATTATGCATGCCATCTTTTCTTAGATAAATTCTCCCAGTTTTGGAAATGAATGGATAATTCCGTTCATACACGCCCGTAGCTTCCTCGCAAACAATGATTCCACACCAAAATGAACAAAGTCTGTAGCCGCCAGCCGTCTCCCTTGTTTTCGAGGCACGGAATGGACCTTGGACATCATAGCGGAGCTCCTCGCGATCGCGAAGCGCGCGCAGCGGAGTACCATGGGTAAGAAAATTTGGTAAACTATCTATCCGAGAAAATTTGGTTATGACGAAGCGTACGCCGGCTAAAATTTTTCATAATTATACATAATTATGCGAAAGTTTAGACAATCAACCAATCAAAATCACTACCCGGTTTTCGGGTAGTGAGTGACGTCACTGGACGGCATTAACGGCCGGTCGATTCAGACGTTGTTGACAGGAGAAAACGATTCGAAGCAATCGGATGAATTTCAGGCTAAACAAAACCATACGCAGTTTAATAAATAAAGGGGAATAAAACCTAAACATAACAATTTATCTATCATGTTGAAGCGTAAATGGTAACTCTATTAATCGCACTGCAAATTTGGTCCCTGTCAAAAGTGAGCCCCTTCCGGCTGGCCGAAAAGTGATTTTGGGAATTTTTTTATCCTTTTTATTAAAAGCCCATAATTATTACCCTGCATATCACACAGGACCAGATTTTTCTAACTGAAAAGTCCTGGCATTGTAGAATTCTCTTCATGAAAACGTTTTATTATTCAATGCTATAATTTGTTGTGCAAAGGAAGCGCGTGCTTTGATCGTCGTGGATATTGAATGAATGCAAGTTCTCTTGCAAAATTGTGAAAAACTGCAGAATTATAGGTTTAAATAGGGCGAAAAAGTTAGAACAAATTCTGTCCGAGGTCTGTATGATAAAAACAAGGGCCTCATAGTACTGTTTACCTGAGACGTGATGTGAAAAAGTATGTTTAAAAGGCTGGTTTACACGCCACCAGATTCGTCGCCAAGATTTACTAGTAAACTAAACTTGTCGAACACAAAAAAATCCGGCCTGATTTTTTATTTTGGCCTCTCTTTTAGAAAGAGGAATGCAACGTGTAAATTGGCTGCCACTGAGGACTATCGTGGCGCGTGTGTTTCTTAAAATTTTATTTCCGGGTTGTCCAATTATCCATAGTCTCTCAAACGGAGCAATGTTGGAGCGGTGTATGACATTAGGGTGTTTAAGATACGGCGACTACGGACTACGACTACGGTTAAACATGCTACTGCGCATGATCAAAACCACGTGACTGTTCATTTTTCCCGCGTAGTCCTGCGGTTACGGTGAGTTGTTGAGCTGTTTCGCGTAGTTGGGATTACGGAGAACATTTTGGTCGTATTTTGCCGTCTCGGTAATTCAAGAATCTCGTCTTTTCGTAAAAAAGGTTTCAATTCACCTGCTTTAAGTGAGAGGGAAGCGAAATATGTAAGTTGTGTCTAATTTCTGCTCAGATTTACGCTTTTAATCCACCGTTGTGACTAGATTTTTAGCAAGCTAAGCTCATATTTAAATAAGCTTTAATAGCTGTTTATACGCAGAATTCAGATTGACGGCCTCGGAGAACAGAAATCATGCAGGTAATTTACTTTCTCTTCTCACTTGAAAAGTTTCAATGTTTGTTCGAACTGATTATTGTGTCTTGCTACTTGTGTAACCTTCGTTTATGCGAGATTTTGTATCACATTTGCTGAATGAAAATGATGTAAACATCTTCGAGACAATCGAAACTCGGCATTTCAATACTTCAAACTACATCAGATCAGAAGTCGGAGAAGTCCATCTTTCAAATCTAATAAATGAGCTATTACTATTTCTGTCTACTTTTTTAATATTTGACATAAGTATTCATGGGCGAAAAAAATAAAACCTGTGTAACAAAAACTTTGTTTACCAATTTCACCCGACGTAATTGCTTCCTTCAAGTATGGAAGAATTTGTCCATTGTTCTAAAGATAAAATCACATGCAAAACTGACTGGCATTTTTGTGAACTGTGATGAAAACAAGAAAATTTTTGCGTGTTGTTTCCCTCTCTGCCTCTTCTCTCGTAGTCTACTGTCGTGTAGTGCAATCTTAGCGTTCTATATTTGCACGATTCAACCCAGTGCTACAAACATAGGACAACGCTCGTCCACCGTAGTTCGTAGTCCGTAGTCTCCGTATCTTAAACTCCCTATTTGCAGACTGCAGACTGCAGACCGCAGACTGCAGACCGCAGATCACAGATTGCAGATTGTAAATTAAATGACACCAAAAATCTTCGTAATAAAGGTGACGTCATCAAAAATATAACATCGTGTGAAAGTGAGAAAGTAGCCTAGGAACAAGGTTGATATTTTTGCGCCAAGTTACATTGCCCTCATTCCCAAGATGCTGTTGGCTATTCTTCTTCGACCCTTTCTCAACTCACCATTCTTCTTTGATTGTTGTGAATTGATAATGACAAGTAGCAATGCCCACTAATGCCTGTCTAAATAGTAGTCTTCTGTAAAAATAGTTTTAAGATTGCGAGCACTTCGTGCCGGCACTACAGTTACGTCGACAAAAACAACTAGGATAGTTCAAGGACATTCAACACCTTTTTAATAACGTATTTCATCTTAGTAGTATTTAGGGATATGCCAAATAATCTAAAACGAACAGATCCTACCTGGACTCGACGAATTACCAGAAGTGCATTTTGAATTTCTAACTAGGAAAATCATTGCTCATACTTAAGCCCTAGTACACAGGTGGGGCCCCCGTAGAATAAGGATTCCGGCGCTGTTTCACAGACAGACTAATATATAACTATAGTTTAATTTCGTCTGTGGTGTAGGCTAAATTGCAAGACTGTTGCTATGGATTCATAAGCAAGTTTGTGACATAGGCAGACACTATTCTGCTCTAATTCAATACGAAAAGAACAGCCAACAGCTCCTTTAGGAATGAGGTCGGTGTAATTTGTGTGAAAAATATAAACTTCGCTTCTAGGCCTTACTTCTCGGAACAAGGTAATGTTGATGATGACCCACCTTTATTACGATATTTTTGGTTTCATTCCATTAACAGTCTTGCTGCCTCGTGCAGTCTGCAGTCTGCAGTCTGCGGTCTGCGGTCTGCGGTCTGCAGTCTGCAGTCTGCAGTCTGCAAATGTCATACACCGATGTTGGAGAGAGTAGTGAATGCCACATTATGATGCAACAGCTAATGCAAATACAATACACGAATAGGTAGGTCTATTTGTTTCCCAGGCCTAATCTACTGTGATCGAACATGATTGCTATTTTTGGGTGTACAAATAAGACTATTTAATAACTCGATGTAAAAGCTGTTTCACTCTTGGACTGTCAAATTATTTTTCTCTAAAATCACCAAGCCTTTGACTCAAACGTCAAATGAATGTGCCCTGATCTATGGATTACAAGTTTATTGTTTGATTTAAATTATGAATTTATTAACGGGAGCTTCGCTTTTAGCCCTGGCTAAATCTATATATTAATCCTATTTAAAGCGTTATCTTGCCTCGAATGGACTTGGATGGAATCAGAGAAAATTAACAGCTAACAATGGACAGGCTTCAGGTTTTCGAGGAAAGATCATGCTGAATTAAGCGAGGACTTTTAAATAAACTGCCATACACTTTTAAAGGGTACTTTTTAGCAAATGATCATAAAGACGTGAGAGTAATTAAATGGTTTCTTGGTGTACCTAATCTACGGCGCAGTACTCCTTTTGATATATATCTTTATGCAATTCTTACCTGGCATAAGTCTTTTAACTCTGTGGCGTTTTGTTGCTGAGGTGAGGTGGTTGTTTCCAGTGAGCCGTCAAAAAGAGAGAGAATCAGGACCTATACTGGGGGGTGCTTCACAAAAGGGTACCTCTTACAATTCAGGATAGACCATTTCTCGTTACTTTCTTTCTGTCTACTTTTTATATGGAGAAGTTAAGAAAAATATATCGGCAGTTGGCACCACTGGAAAGAACGCCTTAAAATCAGAAACATTGCCAAGTTTTGAAAGTGGTTTGTGGAAAACTGACTAAGATATAGGTCCTCAAAGTCGCGAAAGTTTACAGACCTTTGTATGATGGGGGCCGGCACAAACTTGCTCCCCCCTCCCCTCTCCCTCCCCCACCAAGCACAACTTTAGGTCTGTAGATTTTCACACTGAACTTTGCTGAGCTATATCTCTTTACGCTTAAGACGTGTCGCTTTCAAATTTGGCAATTTTATAGCCACTGAAACTACACTTAAATTGAATTTAAACGCTACATGAAAACGACATGAAGACTTTCTGTTAGTGCTAGATATGTGCCAGAGGTACAAAAATATCTCCTTCCTCTACTGCTGTGACGTTATTGAGATGATTGTTCGCACACAAAAAATAATAAAATAGAACAAGAACAAGACGTAAACAGTTTTTTTTACGGCTATGAACCAACAGACATCCAGTTATTTCCACTCCTCTTAAAATGTTGCTTATTCTTAACAGATCGTCTTCAGTATTAAACTATTACCATAAACTGTCGCCTATACATCTTCTTAAGGGGTTTTAGGAAGGCCCGTATAAACGGAGGGGATTTAATATCCGAGGGGGTCTATAGATGCAGGCATAGAAAAAGAGCTTCGAAATAAGCTGTAGCAGTGCTGATCAAAACAGAGGTTTTTGTATTTACTGGTCGTTAATTAAGGCTTCAACGTCATTATAAATCGAATTCAATTCAGTATAAGCAAGAGGGGAGCTTATCAT